TAAACACCCATTAAAATTTTTGAAAACATGAATATGAATAAATTTATCTATAATAAATTTAGATTCATATAATTTAAGATTCATCAAGTGAAAATTCATTGAATCTATATTAATATGAATGTTAATTAATTGAGAATTAATAACACAAATCTCATAAACGACAATACTTATGTAGTATTTATTACATATCGAAAAATGAAAAATAAAGTATTATTGAAATAATTGAATTGTAGGGGGTTAAAATCATCCATAAAATGATTCTCCATCGACGTGGTACTTTAATATATATTAATTAATTAATATTATAGATTTATTAATTTCTTCATATTTCTCTAAAGGTTCATGTTTGAAGGAAATGAAGTTGATGGGGATAAGGAAAATGGGGTCGACGAAGGTGGAGAAAGTGCAATGGGGACGACTAACGTTGCTTTGAAGTTGAGGTTGATTAAAAAATATTCATCCTCAATGTACCCGCCTCAACTCCTAACTCATAACTCACTCATGAAACAAACTTTCCTTCCTTGACTAGTGAGCCTCAAAACAACCACCACCATCACCAGAGCTGCAACTACAACACTATTAGCCATCATCATCGCCTCATTTTCCCTACCTGTACCCCCTACGATTTTTCCATCCCCATCATCTACATGGACATAACAAGAACCATTAAAAAAATGAAAAAATAAAAAAATGAAGATAAATAAATTCTCTTCAAAATTAACAGTAGGGAAAAAGTGGTCATGACAAAGGCTCCCCCACCAATGCATTGGTTGGATGGGTTTGGCATTTGGGTTGAATGGTTGTGTGGATTAGAGAAGATAAATATTTTTATTGATTGGCGATTTATGGATAAAAATCGTTAGAGGTTCTTTCAACGCATGGTCATTAATGGTTTGCCTTTGCTATGAATTTTTGAAAGGTTTGGAACTTCAAACGTGAATTACCCTTTTTAATTAATTTAAATGACCATTTTACCCTTTTTGAAATTGGTGGAATTATAATCAAGTGCTAATTTTTGGATGGAAAATCATCTGAAGGTCCTCATGTCGCAAAAGTTTGAAAAGTTAGGAGCCAACGCTACTACAAATAATATATTTGGGTAATATACGAGACAAAAGCATGGATAAAAATAAAAGTGCCTGATTTCCTAAACACATGAACGGGTGTTCGTTCGAATTTTGCTCAAATAGCGATGATAATTATTTGGAATTCAGCAATAAATGAGATAACTAAAATATCTTATTAATCAATAATCGAATAATGAAATTGAAATCTAAAAAAGCGCACAAAGCCCTTATATATAAGCAAAAATATCCCATAATCTTGCTAATATGAGGAATCTACAATAAAGAAACTAATAAAATCCTAATATAATTAAATTCATATTCTAATCAATAAAGAAATTATAATCCTAATTACATAAAAGATAAAAGTCCTATCACAACTATACATAGAAAAGATAAACACAACCAAAAAAAGATGGAGTTAAACACAAGTTTCCTAGTAAGAAATAATTTTTATCTTCTTTCTTTCTTTTCCTAATTGATTTTGAATTTTCTCTTGCTATTGTCCCACATTATTCCCTTCCACTTCAAAACAATTTGACCATGAGTTGTCATCATGATATAGAGGCTTATCGAAGGGAAATTTACTATTTAAATTTGTAATGGTCCCATCCACTTTAGAATAACTTCAAATCAGTGACAAGTCTCAATTAACAAATGTATCTTACAAATTTGAGTCACTTGAATAGACGAATCCTTATTTTCCTTTGAACTCATTTGATAATGAGGCAAATTTGGAAGGCCAGTCCCAAGTACCAAACCAACTTGGTGCTGAATATTCCTCATATGAGGTAACTCATTCGACAATTCAACGAAAGCCAAATCTTTAAATTTTGTCAATATTTCTTGCACTTCAAATGTAACACCTTCATCTTCCTTACTTGCTGTAAAAAGCCCAGCAATTGCAAATGGATAAAACACAATTAGATTCTCTTTCATACTTTGCAATCTCCTTATCATTACTTGTAATGATAAGGAAACTCTCAGTTCATTGTTGAATAAACTTCTCCACCTGTTTGAAATGAACCATAACGATCTTATGACTGTCCCATGAAAAGAGTGCCATATTATCATGCCCTTCGAGAGTTGAATCTATATCAAACTGCCATAGACGACCCAATAGGATATGGCAAGCACCCATATATATGACATAACACATAATCTCATTCTTATACTACTTACCAATGGATACAAGTACTTTGTAAGTTTTAGCAACTTGGATGGAAGAACCTCTTTTCACCATATGAAGTGAATAAGGTTTAGGATGGTTCTCCATTGGTAATTTCAACAAATTTACCAATATATTCGACACAAAGTTCTCACAAATTTCATTGTCTACAATCACTTCACACACTTTATTTTTGATAGAACAAAGTGAATGGAAGATGCAATGATGTTGTCCCTCCTCCTTAGATAATAAAAGGATTCGATGTAGTAATAAAGTGGGCCTTTCTACACCTTCCTCAACGGCAAACTCTACTCATGCATACTCATTTTCCACCTCAGTATCTTCCTCCTCATCCACTGCCTCCGATTCCACCAATTGACCTTCTTCCATTCATGACAGTTATTAGAACGATGCCCTGCTTGTGGCATTCATAACAAATATCTGTCGTCGACTAAGCATATGGATTTGTATCCTGAGGTGCACCTCGATTCTGACCTCTATTCTCAAACTGACCACTATTGTTAACATTGCTCCTGTTAGAATTGGCTGGGGTTTATTGTGGGACATTTCCTTTGTCTGAAGGAACGAATGATGATGTTTCGACAGGTAGGGGCCTCCTATATGAAATCGTCTTCTTATCAGATTTCATCATCTTTCATTTCTATGTTAATGGCTTCTTGCAACGTCCAAATATTTTGCAATCCAATTTTATCTTGAATAGCCACCTTCAAACCATTGGAATACCTAGCTACCTTTTGATTTCCAGATTCTGAAAGATTGTTCTGCTCCACCAAACACATAAATTCATTGGTACAGTTTAATATCATACAATTGCCCTATGTGCATCATAGGTACATACGATATAAAAAATCTGTTCATAATCTGCAGGTAAAAATCGATCCATCATAGACTGTTTCTTCTTTCTCCAAGTCTAAATTCGACTCTTTCCTTGTCTCCTTCAGGCTTTCTGGAATTGATCCCACCATACTGTTACAGCATGTTTCAAAAGAAATGGCACCATCTTATTCATCCTGTCCTCCGAAACATCAATAATTTTAAAAAATCTTTCAACATCTACCAACTAATCCAATAAATCTTCGATCTTCATGTTTCCAAAGAACGAGACAATGTTGCTTTTAATTCGATAACCATCAAAGATATTTCGATTTTGATGATTAGGATTATGCGGTGGTACTTCAAACTCCTCCTCAAACTCTAATTCACTTTCTTCTACTATATGCCTCATATTATTTTATCTTCGAACTACAGACTCAGTGATCCATTCATTGTTGATTATCTGTTGTTCTTTCTGTCCATTATTTCCAACACCTCGAAAAAAATAGTTGACGAAGGTCTTCAATCCGATTAGTAAGATCGTCAAGCCATTGATCCATCTCTATTCTAGTAACTAACACGTCACCCATGTTTAAGAATCAAAGATATAGATATGGGAAAGTCGATTTTGATACCACTTGACGTAGTGCGAAACAATGAATTCAAGTGAAAACCTTAAGAATATGAAATTTGCATACAACAACACTATTCATACTCCCATAGGCAAGTACCCATTTATTATTGTGTATACAGAGGTTCCCTGCAATTTGGTGGATCTATTAAGGTTGCCCAAAGGCGATATTAACTTTTAAGAGTGATGTTGCTAAACATTTGGCAAAAGAGGTGTTAGCAGTCCATGAGAAAGTAAGATAGAAGTTGGAAAAAATTAATGCAAAATATAAGGCAGCAGTGGATTCACATCGATGAGATTAACAATTGCAAGAAAGGGTCTCAGTGATGGTGTTTTTGAGAAAGGAAAGATTTCCTGTTGGTATTTACAACAAGCCAAAATTAAGAAAATATGGACCTTTCAAAGTGTTTAAAAGGATTTATAATAATGCCTACATTATTAATTTATCAGCTTCTATTGAAATTTTTTGAACGTTCAATGTGACAGATTTATATGAGTTCCATAAAGGTGATAATTTTTTATATTCAGATCATAACTCGGGGTCGAGTTTTTAGAAGGTGGAAGGGACTAATGTAGAACGTATTGTTGAATGGATGGAAGAAGAATTTGATAAAAATAGAGAAAAAGATAAAGTTACACACAAGTTTTCTAGTAAAGAATAATATGTTTATTTTATTTCTTTTTTTCCTAGTTGATTTTAGATTTTTTCTTGGTTTAAAATGTGACCGCAATTATCCCTTAGATCATTTATAAATTAAACTAAAAAAGGTGCATAGCCTCATGTATAGAACTTCATTTAACAATATTACTCATCATTAATAAAGATTATCGTAGAACTATATGATAGTCAGCTGGTTAATTTATTATTCGATAAAGTTATAATGCATCAAATAATGAATTAGTGATCTAATCTGTACTAATTTGTGCTATGATGAATAGGATTGCTCATTTTAATTGGTAACCACTTTGCCAGATGATACTGGACTTTATCCCTACAAATTGCAAATATTTCGAGGGTAATATGGTAATTACAAAAATATTTACAGAATAAGGATATTAGAAACATTTATCTGGAGTGGCAATATTGGAGTATTTACTCCGTGCAAGGAACTCCATCTTTTTTATGTCGCCAGCTACCCTTCCCAACTTTAAATGACGTATTTATCCTTCGCTCATACCGCTAGCACTATACATTCAAATGGTCAGCTGAGGGTACGTAAGGCTTTTCACAATTTCGGGAGTGGCAATAACAAAATCCCACAAAAATCGGTGTTAATTAGGCAACCAAAAGCGAAAGTGGATTCTATTCTATTCCATTCGCTTCTTTCCCGAATTTGCTTTTTCTGAATTTTCTTTCTTTATAACTTCTTATATCTCAGCTCTTCTGAGGGCTGAGAATTTCTGATTTTCTCTGAAAATTGATTTTCCTTGCTGTAATTCCTTCCTAGGGTGGATTACTGTTTTCCGTGGTAATATATATATTTTTTAATAAATTAGTAGGGATTTCACGGTGATTTGTGAAACCGTTAAGCAATGCTCTCGTTGCAGAGCGATCCTCGGCAGTACAACGTGAATATGCAGCAGGCGGCTAGGGTTCAGTACAATTTCATTGGCGGTGATCAGCATCGGGACGATTCATCTTTTGCCTTGGCCTCCGGGAACATCAAGCCCGATCTATCTCGCGAAGGTTAGGAAACTGTGTAATTTTTTCTTTCCTATGTTATAAATTTCACGTGACCCCAATAGGTGTGTACTTTTATTTATTTATTTTTAACTCGAGATCGTTATTCCTGGTCAATTCTGAGTGTTGCCAGATCGATAAGACTCATCGGGGGGAAGGGTGAAATTCGAAAATAAAATAAAAGATTGAGTGCAGTGGAAATTTAGGGTTTTTAGTTGATGAAAAAATAATTTGTTTTCTCTTTTGTTTGAAAGTATATTTGGTTTTTATGATGATGAAATGATGATTTTAGCTTCTGGGGAATGTGAAAATTTGAACTTACTACAGATATTGGTTCTGTGTAATTATTTGAGGATATTACACTTTAAAAGGGGCCAACTTCATATTGTTTTCATGTTATATATTTTAGGGCTTTTATTAGTATGTGATTTTTAGTTTTTATTTTTGTGAAGCTTATATGGACTTCTTGTTGATCTATTTCGGGGTTAGGTTGATTATTTTACATCTCTGTCCTGTAAATTTTTTTTGGTGGAAAAAGCATAGGTTGACCACTTCTAGTTTTGAAAATGATTTTTTTGGGTAATACTTACCCTTTTTTTAGAGTATAGTGTAGATCAAAATATTGAAGGGAAATTCTTGTTTGGAATTTGAAGGCAAACATAAATCAGTTTAGTATGAAGATTAAGAAGTGAGTTAATTGTTTAGGGAAGATTTTTATTTCACCCTGAATTTGTATCGAGACCATGGGGGATGAGACTATATACAGTGTTAGTCACTTGATCATTATCTTTAGATGGTGGGGGCCCTGGTAGACCGACTTACTCATATTTATTGCTTTATTTGATAGTTCTTCAGTTTGGTGCAGGATTACAGCCCTTAGGCTTTGAATTATGTGATTAAAGTCTGATCTATATTATACTCATCTAGGATATTGGTGATATATTGGTAGGAGTTGGTGCATTGATATTTTTCCAGTGGTTATCCAGGGGATGAGACTATATACAGTGTTAGTCACTTGATCATTATCTTTAGATGGTGGGGGCCCTGGTAGACCGACTTACTCATATTTATTGCTTTATTTGATAGTTCTTCAGTTTGGTGCAGGATTACAGCCCTTAGGCTTTGAATTATGTGATTAAAGTCTGATCTATATTATACTCATCTAGGATATTGGTGATATATTGGTAGGAGTTGGTGCATTGATATTTTTCCAGTGGTTATCCGCATTTTCACGTTGGACTACTCTGGTGACACGAGAATGGTGTTTTGTGTTTGGATCTTTATGTTAAGAAAAACAAGCTTTGAGTAAGATTATGATCTTTTAAATGTTGATACTGAACTTTTTGCTCATTCGCCCTTTAATGAATGAAAGAAATATTCTTAAGAAGCATATGGATATCCAATCAACATATAGAATGCATACGGATATCCAATCAACATATAGAACTTGATTTTTTGATTTATTAGAAAAAAGAAATGAAAAGCTAACTAATCCTTTATATGGGAATAACCATTGATACCAAATTGTTATTTCTCATAGAGATTTACTACCTCAAGGAGCTAGAAGATTATGAGAAGCATTAAATAATGGAAGTGTGGATGTGCTGTTTTGTTGTCCTAATTTGATACCCAAGTTCAGTAATGCAAACACAAAATTACTCCAATGGTCCTTGCAAAGCTGTTCTTAAACATTTAAAAAGTCTCTAGTCCTCAAGCTTTCATTTTAGTTGCACGATCATTTTCCCTTGATGGAACTTTCAAATTTCATTGAATTCTCACATGGCACTACGAAACATGCCTTCAAATTTTCAAGCCGCCAACCCAAGTTGGAAAACAAAACCTAGTTCCATCAGATTGGACTTGTAAGGGTTATGTGATGTTTGACAGAGATCTAGATGGTTTGCATTGATATGGACTGGTTGTGAAACTACTAAAGAAAACTTTGAGGACCACCTCGTTTTTTAAGATTCAAATGTGTAAGTTGGAGTTATTTTTTATTTTATTGTTTTAGTTCATATTCTTAATATGCATCTGAATCAGAAAAAGTTTATTTATTTATATAATTGCAGCTGGTTTTGTAACTTTAGCTTACAAAGAAAATACATTTTTCTTGAGAAGAAAATTATACGCAATTAGTTATTCTGTCGTACGATCTTTTCAAATTTCTACTAACTTTTGCCAACCTCACTTCATATATAAATTCTAGAAAATAGCGTTCATTTTGAATGCAGTTTCTATCAGTTCATTATATTTGCTTGACCAAAATATTAAATGTGAGCACTAACTGATTTCAGTGGCAACACCGAAACCATCAGTCACAATTGCCTAAGATGTTTACTTTGTTCTTTGTAGTTGCATGAGTGGGAGTTGGATTTCTAAATTTTTTTGTCAAGATTTAAAGTGTGCAATGGAGGTTAGCATGAGAACTGTAATCAGGAATCTTGGTGGAGAAAGAACAGAACAGACCTCATGAAACTTTATACACACACAGTATATATAAATTAGTTGGTAATCCTTTACTCTGAACATTAAGTAGAATCCGAAATAAGATTAGAATCTCTAATAGATATGGAAGAATGGATAGAAATGTTTGGACAAAATAAACAAAAATTAGTAAAAGCCTTAGATATCTATAAAAAAGGAAATTTATTTAGCAAACTAAGAGTACAAGCTAAGTAAGAAACTGAAAAAATTGAAATGAAAAATATGAGGGGAAAATACATGTCCCACACACATTTTGAGTGTTGGCAGAACTTCCACTAATCTTGTATCACCTTCATTTGCCTTGTTGCCTTGCATCCCCTCCTTGCTTCCACATTCTACCCAACTGTTAAACCACTGCCACCAGGTACAGGCTAGCTTTCTAGTGGAATTGGCTTAAGTTGTAGGGCTAAAGGGTGGAGTAGGTGGGAGCCACATTAAAGGATGAAACGAGGGCATAAAAGTGGAAAGTGAATTTATATTTTTGTGTCCCATCAGGAAAGTGGCCTGCAAATTTTTTAGGTTTATGAGTGTTTATGGTTTGACTGATAACTTTCGTGGTTATGTGTTGGTTTCCCTTGTGCTGCAGTTGATGAAGACACGCTCTTGACCCTTGCTCATCAGAGTTACAAAGCTGGAAACTATAAGCAGGCATTAGAGCATAGCAAGGCTGTTTTTGAGAGAAATCCACGACGCACTGATAATCTTCTTCTGTTGGGTGCAGTTTATTATCAGGTTAACGTTTTTTATACGCATGATATAATCATACATCCTTCTTTCTATTTTTTTTTTTTTAATTCTCTCTGTTTTTAATCTCAACTTTGGATTTGCGACAAATTAACAAAATATGAAGCAAGAACATGTTGCTTTGTGTTTCAGTTGCATGACTTTGATATGTGTATCGCAAAGAATGAAGAAGCTCTCAGAGTTGATCCGCACTTCGCAGAGTGCTATGGCAATATGGCAAATGCTTGGAAGGTATGTTTCTATCATGTTCATGGGCGAAAAAGATTCTTATAGGTTGGCTGTGATGTTGATAATATGCGCTATTCTCTATTTGTATTACAGGAGAAAGGCAATATCGATGTCGCAATTCGCTATTACATGATTGCTATTGAGGTATGAGCGCTATTATATATCCTGTAATGCAATTCTCCTAATGTTTACTTTTAAGAGTACTGGTTGGTTTTCTAGTCATAACATCTATCTAATTCTGCTTCTCCTATCCTAATAGAAATAAGACAAGAATTAGAAGCATATGCTCATCTTGGTGTGGTTTTTCTAGGATGCTGATCTGAATTTCTACGAAAACTACTACTCCCTTTTCTTTTCCTTTTTAAATAAGACCACAGATTCTTGTCTACTGTGAACACCTGAGTGAAACTATTTTACTGAAACTTTTGCGGGATAAATTCTAAACATTATTATCCAGGTGATGCATTTGTTTATCAAAAAATAAAAATTTGAAAACTTAATAAAATTACCTTTATTTATGTTGGTAATATTTTTCTGTGCAGTATTTTTTAATACCATTCCCCTATATCAAGGATTTCCTCCCTCTTTTTTCACCTCCTAATATAATGAAATGTTAACTCTTCTTTTTAGAATCCTACATCTTGCTTAAATGATTTAGAGAGGATTTATGTTGCACGGACCATTATTAAAATCTGACCCATTCTGACGAGGTGACTTTAGGGAACATGACAGGACAAAGAAGTGAAACTGAAAAGTGAAATAGAAGATAGAGAATTGTTTGAGGAGGTTTGAGAGAGAGAGCTCATCACTGTTGCCTAACCTTTTTCATCTTTGAGTCTTGCATA